ACCCAGAACTAGACCCAGTCCCAGACCCAGACCCCAGACCCCAGCCCCAGCCCCATTCTCAGACCCCTGACCTCCAGACCCAAACCCATATGCATTCCTAGATCCAGACCTCAGACCCAGACCCCAGACCCAGATCCAGACCCAGTCGCAGTCCCAGCCTCAGACCCCAGCCCCCAACCCCAGCCCAAGCCGCATTTCCAGACCCCAGACCCTAGACCCTAGACCCAGACCCAGACCCAGACCCAGACGCAGTCCTAGACCAAGAACTACACCAGACCCAGACCCATTCTCAGATTCAGACCTAGTCCTCAGACCCAGACCCAGATCCCAGACCCCAGATCCAGGCCCAGACCCATTCCCAGATCCATTCCCAGACCCAGAGCCAGAGCCAGACTCAGACCCAGTCCCAGACCCCAGACCACATCCCAGACCCAGACCCAGTCCAACACTCAGACCTCAGACCGCAGACCCCAGATCTCAGACCCAGACCCCAGACCACATCCCACACCCACACCATGACCCAGAGCCAGACCCAGTCTCATACTCCAGACCCAGTCCCAGGCCCCAGACCCCCAGACCCAGACCTAGAAGCAGTTCCAGACCCAGACCCAAGACCCCAGACTCAGACCTGTCTCAGACCCAGATCCTAGACCCCAGACCTAGACTCAGTCCCAGACCCATACCCAGTCCCAGACTCAAACCCACACCCAGATCCCAGACCAAAACCCAGACCTATATCCAGACTCAGAACCCAGACTCATTCCCAGACCCAGACCCAGACTCAGACCCCAGACCCCAGGCTCAGGCCCCAGACCCAGATCCCAGTCCCAGACCCAGACTCAGTCCCAGAACCAGACCTCAGACCCCAGACCCAGACCCTGATCCAGACCCAGTCCCAGACCCAGAACCAGTCCCACACTCAGACTCAGACCCAGACCCCAGGTCCCAGAGCCCAGACCCAGATCCAGTCCCAGCCCCAGCCCCAGACCCCAGGTACAGACCCAGTCCCAGACCCAGAATCCAGACCCAGACCCAGACCCAGTCCCTGATCCAGACCCTGATCCCAGACCCCAAGCATAGACCCAGTCCCAGACCCAGAATCCAGACCCAGATTCAGACCCTATACACAGATCCCGACCAAAACCCAGACCCCAGACCCAGATCCAGTCCCATTCCCACACCCAGACCCACACCCAGAAACCCGACCCCGACCCAGACCCAGTCCCAGACCCAGACCCACAACCCAGACCCAGACCCTGACCCAATTCTCAGGGATGAAGTGCTGTCCACTGATTCACCACAGGGCCCAGGCCGTGTGAATTTGCCATTTCCTGTATTGGTCCCCAAAATAAGTTATGTTTATGCAAGCTCAAGTGTTTGCTTTTCTCTAATAGAAACGAAGCATGTTGGTACTGAGGGTCATCTTGTAAAGTGAAGATGATCAATACTTTCTAGCAGAGAAGGAAACAGGTTAGAAGACATTCAGCAATCTGCTGGTCACAAGACTAGCCATGACACAAACCCAAGCATTCATCTGCACACTTGCAATTGTCACAATGCCATCTTCCCTCTTCTGGAAGCCAACATAGAAAGAAGAAATTCAGTTTGCCAGATTGTTACACAAATTCTTACACAATCATTGAATTACACTGTAAGAGGAGTTTGTAAGACTAGATGATCCTCATTCAAGAGTAAAGTTATAGAGTTTTAGTTATAGAGTGAGGGCGGAAATTTCCTCAAAGAAAAATATTTCTCCTGGGGCTGGGAAGGTGGCTCAGTGGTAGAGCTCTTGCCTTGCATGCTCGAGGCCCTGGGTTCAATTCCTCAGCCCCACATAAGCAAAAAAGAAAAAAAAAGCCGAAGTGGCGCTGTGGCTCAAGTGGTAGAGTGCTAGCCTTGAGCTGAAGAGTTGAGGGACAGCGCCCAGGCCCAGAGTTCAGGCCCCATGACCGGACCCC